GACAGGGATCATGTGAGTGCAGGGAATACTGGTATGGAAGCTCATGGTAGGCTAGGGGATCATTGATGGTTGATTTAAGGATGTTACAATTTAGGTGTGAAACATTCTCCCCAGGCTCATACATCTGAACACTTGGTCCCCAGCTAGTTATGATGATTTAGGAGGGGGCTTCTTCCAAGTGTTTTTAGTTCTGAGAATTTATGTTGAAGTAGACCTCTTCATTCCAGTGTTTGGTTGTCCTTCTGAGGACTCTCTGTTTCTGCATCCTGAATCCCAGCCTAGAGAGCTCTCTCCTCTGTGTTTGTGTGCTTGCCATAGGTACCAACATGGGTGACAGTCACAGCTCAGTTCCAGCTAGATCCCCAGCACCAGTGTACAGACCTCTATTATGTTTATGTTTTAAAGAAGATGCTCGATCTTCCAAACTTTGTTCCTCTTTACAGGGACTAAACTGTGTCCTCTGGGGGTATAAATGTCCAACATTGGACAAGTGTACTAGAAACTGGAAAATCTGAGCAGAAAATAGTGTTTCCCTAAATGTAGGCGTGTCCTGAACATCACTTTCCTTGGACAGCATATGATATTGGCGCCTTTCTGCTGTGCTTGCGCTGTAGTTGGTGTGATCAGATATGGAGGAGTATAATGTGTCAGTTCTGGAGGGTCTTGGTAGCTGGGCAGACTTGACATGGGTTGAGAGTAAGTCCCCTCTTCTCCTACGTGTGTGCCTTTGGGGGACTTGCTTAGGTATCTGAGGCTCAGCTTCCCTGTTTAGAAAGTGAGGATAACATTATTAATGTAGTAATGAAAATATCCACCTATGGCTGTGGTGAATGCGGATGGAGATATTACATGTCTGATGTGTTGGGATCCTGGATGTCAACAGTACTGTGGTGACTGTCGTTGTCATGTCCTCGCCATCACCATGCTCATTACATCACCAGCACCAATACTGCCATCACCATCTTTACCATCAAGATCATCCACATCATCACCATCAACAACATCGTCATCATCTTCACTGTGATCCTTATCACCGTTATTGCCTGTTCTTACTTTTCTATTGCTATGATGAAACACCACAACCAAGGCAACTTATAAATGAAAGGGTTTTATTCGGCTTGTGGTCTGAGAGGGTAGGAGTCCATGAGACAGAGTGAAGGACAACTGAGAGCTTACATCTTGATCTACAACCATGAGTGTGCTGGTGTGAATAAGAAATGGCACCCATAGACTTATATTTGTGAATGCTTCGGGAGTGTCGTTAGGAGTTGTGACCTTGTTGAAGTAGTGTGGCCTTGTTTGAGAAAGGATATCACTGTGGGTGGACTTTGGGGTTTCACATGCCCAAGTCAGGCCCAGGGTCCCTTGCTCTTGCTGATGCCTGCCAATATGGATGTAGAATTCTTAGCTACCTTTCTAGCACCATGTCTGCTTGCATACCACCTTGCTTCCTGACATGATGCTAATGGACTAAACCCCTGAACTGTAAGCCAGCCCCAGTTAGATGTTTTCCTTTATAAGAGTTGCTGTGGTCATGGTGTCTCATCACAGTAATAGAACCCGAACTAAGACTATCCGGCAGAGAGAGAGAGAGAGAGAGAGAGAGAGAGAGAGAGAGCGAGCATGAGCGAGAAAGAGAATGTTCAAGAGCACACCGGGAATGGCAAGAGTCTTTTGAAACTCCAAAGCTTACCCCAGTAACACACCTCCTTCAATAAGTCCACACCTCTTAATCCTTCCCAAACAGTTCTACCATCTAGGAACTAAGCATACAAACACATGAGCCTGTAGGGGCGCTCCCATCCAAACCACTACAACTGTCATCATTAATCACCATCTATGTCACTGTCACCATTACCACCACCACCATCACCATCACTGCCACCACCTGGCAAGCCTCTCCAGAATCACTCTAATTGACTTGCCCAGATGTGTGTCTCCTAAGTGATTCACATCTAGTTGACAGTCAAGATTAAAGATCAGCAGCAGATGGTTTACATGTTTGTTTCTTCACATAGCTGTTGCAACTGACCCCAGGTTAGGTGGCCAAGCCAACAAATGTGCTCAGGAGTCCTCTGAGTTCAGGTGTCTGAGATCAAGGTGCTAACAGGTATTCCCCAGGATGCTCCCAGAAATTCTCTTTCCCACTCTCCAGTTCTGGAGATTTGCTGGAGACCTTTATCTTTTTAGCCTTATAGGAACATCACCCTTATTATCTTCCTGAAGCTTCCATCCTATGCACCTTCTGTGTCCTTCACATTTGCCATCTCTACAATGCCACGTTATTGGGTCAGGCACACCGTTCTCCAGTGCAGCCCCATCTTAATTGACCACACCCGCAAAAACCCATTTCTAAATAGACCACTGCCTTCTTGGGGGGCATAGCCCTTGATAAGTAATATTGCTTATGGCCACATTTATTTCTGGTTGCCATGCGGTCGGAGTGAGGCCCAGAGGTTGACGGAGGAATCAACACAGGGCAGATTAGTAGGCTTGTCCAGCTTGTGGGCAGAAGACCCAGGTCTTGCTGACCTCTGAACTCCTGCTCTTTTCAGAGGGGTCTCCATGTGGCAGCTCTAGTGCTTCCCAGCGCTGCTGCTTTGCTTCTCGGGGTTGCCTCTTGCACCAGGGAGGCACAGACTGGGCCTCACCGCTCTGCCCACCAAATGGCAGTGAGCACCAGTCTTTGTGTAACCTACAATGGCAGACAAATCCTCTGGGAGGCGGCACACAGCCCTGGGCCCCTCTAGGCACTTGCCAGTTGGCAGGTGCTTGTCAGCTATGGCGAGGGCTGGGAAAGTGCTCTGTAATGTGGGTGTGAGGGCACCTGAGTGGGGACGGCCCATCTGCAGCTCATCTGCGTACTGTAACCCGAATCCTGCAATGATTCCTGAACTGGGAGTGGTGGCTTCCCAGCAGCCCCAGGAGGCTGTATCTCTTATCACGCTTTTCTTGTGTCAAGATCACGGAGGGTTCTCACCTAGCCACGATGGTTGGAGGGGGGCCCATGTGGCTCCTCCCTGGAAGGAACTACTGGTCCCACCAGGTCTTGTAACCCAGGAAGGTCAGAGGGTCACCCTGAACTCAGCCAGTGACACCTGAGAGGGGCCAACGGGAGTATTCATTCATGTGTAGGGTGTCGGCTTCCCTGGCTGGGGCTGTAGCTGCTAGACCAGTGTTCAGGATTGACAGCAGCTGAGCCATTTTGCAACTCTGAGAACCTGGTGCTCAGTGACTGGGTCCTGAAGGCAGCAAGGCCTTATGAACCCTGAGGCAGCCACACACAGAATCCCCTTGCTAAGCATTAATTCCAGCATCTTTCAGCCAGCCCTCAGCTCTTCCTTCCTGTCTTCGCTGTAGGAAAGCACACCCCGACACCCCTGCTATGCTGAACAGTAGAAACCAATTTTAATCCAACGCACATGAGACATCTTGGTTAGACACGGACCCGGTCTTGCCTTGTCTTTCCTTGACACCCAAGGAGTGCCACAGCAGGCCACTGGGAACACAACCAAGTTGTCACTATTCCAGTTCTCAGAGGACGAGATGCATCTTTTGGAGTGTGGATGATGGATTTGGAGGCCCTGTTGGTACTGTTTAACCATTTAAGAAATTGCCTCTTGCAGTAATTTGTTTGATACCCCCTTCCATCAAGTAGTTTCTCATTATTGCCAGCCCTCTCTCTTTAAGTGGCACATATAGGTTGAGTTTTGGGTTTTCCATGTATGTGTATGTGGTATGTATATACTCATGCATGCTTGCATATGAATGAGCACATGAGTGTCCAAGGTTGATGTCTAGAATCATCCTTGATTGCTCTTTCACCTTATTTACTGAGGAGGGTCTAGAGGTCTATCAATCAAACCCAGAGCTCACCCATAGGGCTCTTGTCAGGGCGGATGCACTGACTCTGACATCTGAGGCTGGAATTACAGGTGTCTGCCACACCCACCTGCCATTTATGTAAGTTCTAGGGATCTGAACGCCAATCTTCACCTTTTACTGCAGAGCCATCTCGCCAGCTGTGTAGTACAGTTCTGATTTTCTGTTTGGAGACAGTGTTGGTGATGTGAAAGCTCTCATCCCTCAGGCCTCCCAGACAACATGTCCTCTGTGTCCAGGTTGCCAGAGAGCAAGCCATGCACACCTCAAGTGGCACTGTTGTACAGTCGGTCGCTGCCCCAGGGGTTCCATGTAGGTGGATTGAGAATTGTGCACAAAACGATTTTATCTTCATCGGGATGGAATGTGACTTTTGCCCAGATGTACAGTGTATCTATTAGGTGTTAAGAGCAAATAGGGAATCATGCAGTCTATCCAGCCTGTGTCCTGTGGGCCGCATGTGTCCCAGAACACCTGTGAATGCCTGAAAACAGAAGTGATATTTATTTTTCTTGCTAATGCTACTGCAGTTCTCAAACATGAACTTTGTAGATGGCAATGTTGTGCCATTTGGGAGGACGTGTGGAAGTTTAAAAACATGTCATGATAAGGAACCTGAGTGCCCATAGATCTGGAGATTCAGAGAGGGTCCTGTAAGCCCCAGGATATCTTAGGGACAGCTGTGCTGAGCTGAGACTCTCAATATATTTTCTTACCATCACAGTGCACTCGCGTGCGCGCGCGCGCGCGCGCGCGTGTGTGTGTGTGTGTGTGTGTGTGTGTATGCTGCCGTGCGTGTATGTGCATAAGATAATCTTGACATCAGTCCTAGACTGGCTGCTCAGGGAATCGTGGGATTAACTTGTTTATCTCCCCAGTGTGGGTTCTGGGGCTTCAGTTTAGCTCCCATGCTTCGATGGCAGGCACTCCATTGACTCCCAGCCTGGTTGATTTATCTTGCTTTCCCCAGCCTCTCTGTCCTCAAGGCAAAGGTAAACTTTACTTTGGGGCAGAGAGGACAGGAACAGAAGGAGCAGGACTCCTTTGATCCTGTGCCCAGGTTGGTGGCTCTGATGACCTTTGACATCCCTGACCCATGTCTCTGTTCTCCCCCACAGAAGTGCATTCGATTTAACCCAGATGCCACTGTGTGGGTGGCCAAGCAGCGAATCTTGTGTACCCTGAACCAAGGCCTGAAGGATGTACTCAACTATGGGCTCTTCCAGCCGGCCAGCAATGGGCGGGACGGCAAGTTCCTGGATGAGGAACGGCTGCTGCGGGAATACCCACAGCCCACAGGCCAGGGTGTGCCTTCCCTGGAGGTAAGCAGCCATGTGTGACTGTGTGGGAGCTGGCGCTGTACAGCCTGGGTGCAGCTGAGGGCAGCTTCTTAGCCAGGCCACTGTTTGTTTCGGATTAGAAAATTACGCACCTTGTAGTTAAAGTCTGGATCTTTGGACCATCCCTGTTAGGTGTGTATGTGTGTGACAGGTACCTGATGTGGCTTTGGGAATGTGGACCAGCAGTGTGGTTAGCTTTAGACAAAAACGAGCGCTGAGTTTGTGGTGGAATTTGGAAGTGCGCAGGAGCAGGATGCAGAACTGCAGTGTTGCTGTCCAGCGTGGGCATCCTCCATCCTGGCACTGTTCCCTCCAGTTCCACCCTTTATATATGCTCCTTGCAGTATGACAGGCTCAGAGGAGGTCAGGAAGGAGGCACAGTGACCTGAGTTCAGGAAGGTCATTCTACTCTGGAGCCCTCTGGTGTCGTTGTCCTTGTGAGACAGATGAGGAAATTGAGGCTGATGTGGGGAAAGTGACTAATTCAGAGGCACTTAGCAAAGAGAGGGCCTCATCTTTCCTCTCAAAATCTCAGTCATGCCCCTCCCGTCAGCGTTCTTCCTGAACCCTCTGCAGTGTCAGGTCTGGGTGTCTGGGAGGAGAGGGCATGTGATAAAGCTGAGGGCCGATACACCACGTGCCTGGGTGTGTTGTTACCAACTCCAAGCCCACTTCTCCGCTCTGCAGTGAAATTTCCAATCCCAAGCAGGCAGCACCGTCGTGAGGAGCCAGTGGGAGCCTCTGATCCTGAGGAGAGGGGTGCATGGGATGCCCAGACCAACTGAGGGCAGGTGGATTCCCATAGACTAGGATCCGGCAGGATGAGGCTACACTAGAGATGTGTCTGTCCGCCGTACCCTCTATACCAGCTGGGCACTGGCCTCCACAGCTGAGAGACTGCCCCATGTCCTGATGGCTGCTGGATGATGGGACTCTTGGGGGATGGGCTCTGTAGCACAGATACCAGTGTCTTGGTTAAAACTGGGGTGCCTTGTGCTTGGTGAGGTCACTTTCCCTCTGAGCACCCATGTCTAACATCTGGTCACCTGCAATCTTCTACTTGTTTCCCTGACAGTTTCGCTATAAGAAGCGTGTGTACAAGCAGTCCAACCTGGATGAGAAGCAGCTGGCCAGGCTCCACACAAAGGTATGGGGGGCGGGGTGGATAATCCTTCCTCCACCTCATCAGGTCACCTGATCCTGCTGTGTTGTCTTTGGCGGGCTCATTCCCTTGGGAGCAGCCCCTGCATACCTACCTGTGGGATGAGGCCAGGCTGGGGCATGCAGGTGGATGGTGCTGCCTCCCCATGCACTTGACTGGAGACCTAGGCAGACAGCAGTCAGCAAGGTGGCTCAGGGAGGCTGGTGGAGGCTGAGCAGAGGGTTGCTGCCCCCTCGTGCCCCAGAGAGGTTGAAAGGCAGCAGTACAGTGATACAGCAGGATGTGGTGAGGTAGAAGAAAGGGGTGCCTGCTGAACGCTGCCTCTGGTTTCTGTTGCTGCCCGATAAGAACAGATTTTAAAAAGGCAGGAAGTGCTGTCCGCAATGGGAGGAGAGGGCTATGCTAGCTAGAGGGCATTGTGCCCAATGAAGTCACAGTGAGTACCTGTGACATGCACCCCAGACATATCAGTGAGGCTATATGAGCCAGGAGCATGCATGAAACTAGAAGCAGTGATCCTGGGGCATGTGGATGGAGCCTGAAGGGCATGGGGTGGACACTACTTCCCTTTAGATACCCCTGGGATGCCTGATGCTTGCCTGCCAGTGGAGGGTGCACACGACTTTCACAACCCACAGTTCCTTATTTCTCGATGGATGCAGGGTTTCTACTGTGGGCTTCATTCTCTTGTCTTCAGTTAATTTTTAAAAATTAAGTAGTTATTTGACAGTCGCATGTTGTATAAATGTGTTCTCATTGCTCTACAGTCCTCTCTTCTCTCCCCCTCATCCCTTCCAGCCCCCATACTCCCTGCCAATCTCGTTCCTCTAGGACCATCTGTATGACCAGTGGGTGAAGTCTATCTACTGGAGCCTGGTGGGGTGGTCACCGGTGAATTCACGACAAGCCAGTGACTCCCCCATTTCCTTGAATGTATCTGCAAATGGTGCAGCAATGAGGGGTCGGCCAGAGCCCCTCCTCCATCCGTGCCTGACCCACTGTTGTCCTGACCCAGTGCAGGCATCCACAGCTGCGAGTTCAAGGCTGCAATGTCTGGCCTTCCCAGGAGAAGGCACTGTGCAGCCCTCCCTATTTTCCAGCTCTTACATTCTTTCCTCCCGGTCTTCCATAGTGTTCCCTGAGTCTTAGAGGGGATAGTGCTAAAGTCTCATTTCAGGCCAAGCAGAGAACAGTTACTCATTCTCAGCAGCTGTGCAGTCACAAGAGGGGCTTCTCTGATTAAGACTGGGAGAAGCATTATTTGTGCAGTGGTTCTCAACCTTTCTAACTCTGCATCCCTTTAATACAGTTTCCCATTTGTGGTGAACCCCCAATCACAAAATGATTTTCGTTGCTGCTTCATAACTCTAATTTTGCTACTGTTATGAATCATAATGTAAATATTGTTGTTTTCCGATGGTCATAGGTGACCCCTGGCTCATTGCTCTCTAGGGGCTTGTGACCCAGAGGTTGAGAAACACTGGTTTATGGGCCCAAATGGATAACTTGATGCTATGTTAATTTAGTAAAGCTATAGTATTTCCTTCCTAGGGCTGGCGACTGCCCCTACAATGTGTTTTTTTGGAATAGTTTACAGCACTAGGCTTGGATTCCTACTGTGGAGTGGGCCTCAGATCCAACCAGGGAGTGGTTGGTTATTCCCATAACTGTTATGCTACTATGATACTATTGCCCAGAAGATTGACATCATAGTTCATAGAATTTATAGCTGGGAAAGACCGTTGGTGCCTTATCTCGCCCTAGATAAGGCTATTTCATAACCTTTTAGATTCATGAAAGCTAGCTGCCGAGGAGGAAGTGCCCAGCTCAGGTCCAGCTTGGTTTCTGAGTATCATGCAACAAGCCGAGCCGTCTCTTCAGCCCTAGGGTCTCATTGTCTAGTTCTGATTAACAACCAAGACAAAGGGCAACCACCTGTATTGTTTTAAGGGCCTCTATGGCCTCTCTGACCAACATTGTTTTAATTTTATGCTTACATTATCCATTGGTAGCTGGCAGATGCGCATCACTTGGTTCCCTGTCCTTGGTATTTCCCTCCCCACTGTGCTTGGCTTCTCAGCTGTGTTCTGGCCAAGTATGGTCCAGGCTTTCCTTACGTATTTTCTGCCCTGATCCTGGAATCCACACACATGTGGCTGACCCCAGCATCTGAGGATTTCTCTGTTTTTATTATTGCTGCTGTTATTTAATGTGTAGATACAGATACTTGTGAATCTAAAGAAAAGTGCCCGTGAGCCACGGTTTAAATGACACTCCAGATTTTGGACATTTGTTCCAGAACCAGACTGTAAGGTGTTCGGATGGGAATCCAGCCCATGGCAGGTTCCTGGAAGGCCCAGGCACAACATCAAATGAAACACTGCAGTGCTTCTATCCTGTTTTGTGGAAACTGTGAATCGGGATGAGGGTGGGACCCAAGAGAGATGCTGGGCTCTTCCGGATCTGTGGCCAGGCTACCGGGCTTGGGGAGGCTGAGGTTCCGTGGTGACCTGTGTGGTCTCCTGAGGAATGGACTAGGTGTCCCCCAGGGCAGGTGTCACTGATTTTGCTCTGGGATTAATGGGGTGGGGTTCAGCAGTCTCCTTTTTACAGAAGAGACCTCAGGCGCTTCCTTTCTGGGAAGGTAGTGGAGGATCTGAGCAGGGCCTGGAGACTATCAGTTGTCACCCTGCCCCAGGTGATTGCTTTCTTCCTGGGAGAGCATCTCATCCCTAAATGTGGAACCCGCTCCTGCTTAAAAACCATAGGCAGGGTGGTGTTCCCACAGCTCCAGAGCTCTTGGCTGTCTGACACCACAGTGAGAATTTGGATTTCCTGGTGTCCAGGTTATGGCTGTCAGTGGTGGTAGAATGAGCTCTCTGGGACCTCTTTAGATGGCTATGAACCCCACTCATTGGGGCTCCACCCTAATGACCAGAGATCTCTAGCACTGTTATTCAGGGATTACAGTTCACTGTGTGCATTATGGAGGGACAGACATTGAGACCTTAATACAGAGGTGGTGAACAGCTAAGTTTCTGAAACTTTCATCCAGGACAGGCCCATGATATTGGCTGTGTGTTGACCCCACTCTTGGTCCCATGTGAGTCTTGGGGTCAGCAGTGCCCTGCACAGAGGAGACTAGTGCCTCTTAGTGGACAGTCTTCTCTTAGTCTATAAAGATCCCTCCCTCCCTCTCTTCTTCCCTCCTTCTTTCCTTAGGCAGTCCAATCTGGATTTGAAATCACTAAGTAGCTAAGCATGACCTTGAACCTCTGATCCTCCTGCCTAATCCTCTGAGAGCTGGCACTAAAGGTGTGCACCAGCAAACCCAGTTTGTGCAGTACTAGGCTTAAGCCTCATGCATGCCAGGCAAGTTCTCTGCCCACTGAGCCATGTCCCCTGCTCTTTATACATTTTTCACCAAGTCATTTCTGTTTCATTCTTTTCCAGACCAATCTGAAGAAGTTTATGGACCACACTCAGCATCGCTCAGTGGAGAAGCTGGTCAAGCTGCTGGACAGAGGCCTGGATCCCAATTTCCATGACCTGGAGACTGGAGGTGGGTGGCCATGCAGGAGGTCTTCATCCTACTCTTGTGAGGCGCGAGTTCAGGTTACCATGACTCTTCATCTCTCACGCCGTCCTGGCTTCTATCTGGGCTCTGAAGTGGCTCCTCATTCATGTAACTTCTGCTCTGAAGGTCCGTGTTTTTCTCCTTGCAGTCTGAGCCTCCAGCTCAATGCATGCACACAGTAGGTGCATAAATGTTAGGAAAGGGGAGAGCGAATGGATGCTATACATGTGTGGGCTGTTGCCTGTTGACCCCAGGGTCTCCGGCAGAGCCCCCCTAGCTGGATGTGCTAACCAGCAGCACTGCAGCATGTTTGGGGCTTTCCCTTTGCCTGGGTGCAGGCTTTTTCACAGACAGGCAGGTGCTCCTGCTCCCTGCTGGATGCTGAGTTCCTTAGGCTTGAAATCTCCTTGGGAGAAAGCTGCAGCGGCAGGGGAGAGGGCTCTCAGCTCTGCACCGCCAACACTTGGTCTGACTGTTCTTGCTGTGGGGTAGACCTCGGCTTCATGGAGTCCTGCCATGGTCTTACTAGAGGCCAGTAGCTTCCCCAGTTAGGACAACCCGAAGGGCTTTCCCATGTTGCTAGTATCCCCTGGTTTCAATGGGTGGAGCTTGGCCGCAGCCCTGGTGAACACGGTGGCCGTGGGATGATATGGCTGAGGTGGCAGGCAGAGGGCAGGGGACTCTCCACAGCAGCTTGGGTCTATTTGGCTTGGTGTGTGATCTGGGAGATGTGGGAGATACTTGACCTTAGCGGCAGGGTACTTTTACCTCCCTTTCGTCCTCTTTCTCTCCCTTTCCGAACAGGACAACACAACTCCACTGCTGGCTCCCGTGTGCCTTCTTGTTACACCTCAAAATTATCATGCACACAAGATATGGGGGCGTCTTATAAAGTGTGGATCTTGTTTGTCATTTGGGGCAGCCTGACTGACCCCTTAGGCTGAGGTGGCCCCCACTGGGTGCTGGTCTAGCTGGCAGAGCCCAATCTTAGCCCCGATGGGGGGCTGGGTCGCTCTTTGCTCCTGAGTTTCTGTGAGCAGCATGAAGGCTGGGAGAGGGCTCGTTTCTGAGGATGAAGATGGCGTCTAAGGTTCCAGGAGAAAAACTCACGAGTGGCCCTGGCTAGGGGACCTGAGAGGAGGTCGTGCCTGGAAGAGCTGGCCCTAGCCCAGGGTAGAAGCTCCTGGGGAAGAAGGTGGAGTCTATGTGCATTGCGGTGTCAGGATGCTTCCCACGACCTCAAGAGTCCTGACTGTCTGGTACTTGCTTTTATCATGGCTGTGTGTCAATTATTCTCAGCATATTTGTCTCCTGAAGGGAGCCACGGCTCCTTTGCCCCCATCCCTTTTTACATCAGTGTCTCTAGTTCTGGGTTTCGAAGCAGCTGTCATTCCAGGCCAGACCCTGACTGGACTCCCCAGTTGACACTGACTGTTTTGAAGCAGAGGTTGCATGTGGAGCCTTCTCTGAGCCCCACCCGGAGCTAGAATAGAGGCAGTAATGATGGGCAAGGAGCTGGTACTTAGAGAAATTCCAAGAAATTCTACGCCCTTAGCACTGAGTAGGAGAGACCCGGAGTGCAGAGCCCTGAGCCCACAAGTGATTATTATTCTGTGTTCTCTGAAATACGGTCGGCCTTGTATCTGTGGGGCTCATATTCCATGAAACTCCTGATTCAACTATGCAGGGATTGACAAGAAAAAGAAAAACAAAAAGTGCATCTGTCCTGAATGCATTCAGACTTTTCTCTCCTGTCATTGTCCGCTAATGAAGCAGACTGAAACCTACTCACTGCTCAACTGAATCCATTGCTCATAGAATAATCTAGAGATAATTAAAAGTAAAATATGACATGGCTTTATTGAAGGGGCTTTTGGTGCCCCTTTAATCCCAGCACTTGGGAAGCAGAGGCGGGTTCAAGATCAACCTTGTCTACAAAGTAAATTCGAGGATGGCCAGAACTGTCACAGAGATGTACCCTGTCTGAAAAAAAGAAAGAATAAGGAGGAGGAAGAGAGCGAGGAGAAAGAGGAAGAACATCATCTTTACATCTGTGGGACTCTTAGCATCCCAGGGGCCCTGGACCTTGTCCTCTGTGGGCACCAACAGACAGCTGGGCATCTGCAGCTCAGTCTGGAGGTTAGCTGATAAAAAAAGCAAGCAAACCAGGAAAAAAGCAGCCGATATGCTAAGTGGTTCCCGGTCAAGGGCGGCTGTTCTAGGCTTACCAGCAAAAGCAGTACCAGCCAGAGGGGGCTGCAGAGTGCAGCAGACATACAGTGGGGGATACCATTCTAGAAACCCTTCCTTACCTCACCCACAGAGGGCTTGGGGTTTGGGTTTGAGAGAAATCGTTATTTGTAGTTTTGTTGTTGTTGTTAGTGGTGGTGGTGGTGGTGGTGTGTGTGTGTGTGTAGGTGTTGGTGTAAGGTGTCTATGGAGGGCAAAGGGCAACCTTGTGTCTTTCTGGAGCTGTCCACACCCCCTTTCTCTGAGACAAGGTCTCTCACTGTCTCACTGGCCTGGTGCTCCCGAGTGAGGCTAGGTTAGCTGGCTGGTGAGCCCTGAGGGTCCACCTGGCTCTGCCTCCCCGGCAGTGGGATTTTAAGTGGATGCTGCTATGCCTGGCTTTTCCTGTAGGTTCAGGGGATCTGAACTTAGATCCTCGTGCTTGCACAACAAACACTATCAACAGAGCCCTCTCCCAGCCCCTACACTTCTGCTCCAGACAGGTGCTTGCCTCCTCTCACAGACTTTGCTTATTCCCACCACATTTTGGAAGCTCCAAGCTGGGTTTGGTGACTTTCCGAGTCGCTCCCTGAACAGCACACTGGCTGTACACCCGACACCTTTGCTCCCTATGAGTCCAATTCAGCTTTCCTTGAGACCAAGATAAGCCACCAGCCCTGGCCTCAGCTCTGCATCCTCGAGTCAGTGGCACTGGGCAGCCATACTTGGGGCAGCAGCCATTCTGGATGGAGTGACATGCAAGTGAGCTCCGAATCCTGGAGGGGTGACCCGTCACTTCAAACCACGCAGTCTGTCAACAGTAGTGGCTGTCCATAGCTGCTGGAAACATAAATTTCATCAAGTAACATGAAGAGAAGACCGAAGACTTCTTCCCTAGCGGAGGAGTCCTTGGGTCCCTCTCTGCCATGGTGGGACCTCTGGCATCAGATGGATGACAGCTCCACACCCTGGAAAGGCTACCACACTGACGGCCCTAGGAACCTAGTCCATCACTTCCCTGTATGCTGTGGGTTCGGAGCTTGCGGAGTGCTCAGGTGAGAGAAGACAGCTATTTAATGACACCGGAAACCTGCTGTGCACCCAAAACCTCCAGGAAAGGCCCCGAATAGCACGGCCCCCTGCCCTGCTGCATCTATAGGGCCACCTTGCTCATCTGGACTCCCTTTTAGGACCTGGTTACCACCTGCCAGTCCTAGTCTGCTTTTTGTTGATGTGACAAACCCCGTGACCAGAAGCAGTTTGGGGAGGACAGGGTTTATTTCAGCTTATACTCCTAGTCCACTGTGAAGGGGAGTCAGGGCAGGAACCTGGAGGCAGGAACTGAAGCAGAAGCTACGGAGGAGTGCTGCCCACTGCCTTGTTCCCCATGCGTTACCCAGCCTGCCTTCTTATAGCATCTAGGACCACCAGCCCAGGGGTGGCACCTCCCATAGTGGTCTGGGTCCTCCCACATCAACAAGTAATCAAGAAAATGTACCACAGGCTTGTCCACAGGCCTGTCTTATGGAGGCATTTTCTCAAGTGAGGTTTCCTCTTCCTAGATGACTCTAGCTTGTGTCAAGTTGACAAAACTCCCAAGCAGCCCAGCAAGTGAGAAAGAGGTTGCCAACAGAGATGCTCCAGGGCTGTCAGCCGGGGGGGGGGTGGGGTGTCCTCTAGCTAAGTTCTTTATCATCCTTGAGAGGCACTGTTTCCGCCCACACTCGACGGTGGTGGACTCCTGGGGAGCCCTGTACAGCTCCCACACGGCCCAATTAGAAGCTTTGTGGACATTCTGCTTGCCTTTACGTGGAGCTCTGTGGCTTGGGGAGTGGAGGGAGCCTGTCTGATGACTTATGGTCGGTGTCTTGACTGGCACACAATGAATCTCAGCACGTGATCGATATCCCAGGAACTGCTGTGTCTGGAGGGAATGGGGTTGTGAGACCTTGTAAACCTGAGTCTGCAGACAGCGAGAGGTACGCAAATGAAGGCAGCCTGCCGCCGGTTCAGAAATACCCACCTCCAGTTAGTCGGGTGCGTCTGGGTAGTCCTTGGAGCTCTAATAAAGAGGCCCGTTGTTAGGCCCAGACACGGTACCCAGTTATTTTGCAATCCTTCTTTCTTTATGTGCCTGCTTCCAAGGGAGCGTGGGAAGCTCACCAAGTGCACAAGCTAGGAGAAGATAAGGTCCATCGAATGTGGAAGGTGGACCAGGGAAGGCAGTCTGGATGGAAATGAGCCTGGGATTGGGTCTACAGCCTGTAGAGAACCAGTTTGAAGCTCACAGAAAAATCATACTGGGCAGTGGGGCATAGCTCAGAGGCAGAGCATATAGACAGAGCCTGTCTGCCTAGGTGTTGGGTTCCAGTCCAGCTACAAGCAGATTATCCAGGTGTGGTGGCATCTACCTGCAGTCCCAACACTCAGGAGGTGGAGGCAAGAGAATCAGGAGTTCACGGCCATCTTCAGCTGTATAGCAACTTGGAAGCTACCCAGGGAAACGAGACCTTGTCTCAAAAGAATCAATTAAACACCTCTAGCCCTGAGTGTGGATCATTCCCACACGCCCCACACCCTCCCTCTCACTAACAAATGGTACTCGTGTGATGTGTTTGTTACAGCCAAGGCCCAGGGTTTATTCTAGGGCTACTCTTAAGTGCCACACATTCTGTGGGGTCTGCCAAGAATGTGATTCCTGTACCCACCATCAGGAGTTATCTGGGATCCCATTACTATCTAAACACCTCTTGTGA